TTTTTTTTTTTTTTTTTTTTTTGGTTTGGAGCTTTATGAATCAAGTTTTCCGGCGAACTTCCGACGACGTTGTTTTGAGCAATGTTTCAAGCTTTTGATTCCGTTTCTTCTCCCGAGTGCATGTTGGAGTGGGTAACTTATTTTTAAGCCCCATTACCTCGTATATCTTTCTTGCTTTGGTAAATTGATATTGTGCTTGAGATTTTGGAAGAAAAGATTGTTGCTTTGGATCATGAATGCTTGACTAAGTGTGATTAGAAGTTTAATGCTTGCTCGTCTTGTGCTAGAGCTTGGTTTAGCTACGTAGGGAATTAGCTAGCATGACAATGTTCGGTTATTTGTGTGTGATTGATCATGGAGACTCCGGCGAACCAAAATCTCTCTTTCCTTGATTTCTCTCATCTTCTTGCGTGCTTTAATTGCTTTCAATGCCCTCAATTTCGTAGATTAGTTTAGCTTAAATCAATCCCTTTCAAGCGAGTAGAATGTGTAGGACCTTCTTTTCAGTTGTATGACTTTGACGACTAGATAATGAACGAAACTCCGAAGTGCCTTCCTTTGAGAACGACCCGAATCGGGTAACTCGGTTACCACATGCCAAAAAATACTATAAACAAAATGGCGCCGTTGCCGGGGAAGGCGAGTAGGACGCCAAGTTTGCTATCTAGTTGTCGTTTGTTTCCATGTTTCTCTTGCTTTTTGTGGTTTTCGTTTGTTTTTGCGTGTTTCTCTTATTTTTCTCCTTATTTGCGATTTCTCTTTCGTTTTGCCATATATGATCGTGTACATATCATGTCTTGTTAGCTGCATTTCGTGCTTTCTTTCCTTTGCCTCGTGTGCCTTGGTTGTTTTGTTGTTCTTGTGCGAGGTATTTCGTTTGAGGAGCACCGATGGATCCGTATGGCTATGCTTATGTCGGTAGCTTGTCTCGTGGATGCCCCGACAACTATCATGAGGAGATGTATTCGTATGGAGGGCCGCCTTATCCGTACCCGAGCCACTTTTTACCGACATCTCATGCCGATTTTGGTTATTA